CAGAGGGGAGCAGCAGGTGAGACAGGAGAGGTCTGCTGCACCATGTGGGATTCTCTCTGGCCAGCCGGGATTGAACCTGTGCTGCAGAGGCTGCGAACAACTTCACAGTGTGGCGCTCAACCACCTGCGCCACCAGGGAGGCCCAACAATTTTATTTTTATTTTTATATTTTTTTAAGCAGTTGTATAACACATGTCATATGATTCACTCATTTAAAGTTTATAATTCACTGTTTTTTAGTATCCACAGGCTTTTGGACCATTGCCACAATCCTATTTTGGAACATTTTTGTCCTGTGCAAAGTAAACACCTTACCCATTTGTTACCACTTTCATCCCACCTTTGCTACCTTAAACAACTGCTCATTTACTTTCTGCTTTTATAGATTTACCTATTGTGAACTTTTGATGTAAATGGAACCATGCAGTATGTTTTCTTTTGTGATTAATTTCTTTCACTTAAGATTTTCAAGGTCACTGTGTTGTAGCATACATCTGTGCTTTATTCCTTTTTATTGTTAATAACATTCCATTATATGGATGTTATATGGGCTATTTCATTATATCATCTGATGAACATCAGATTTTTTTTCCTTTGGATTATCATGAATAAAGCTGCTGTGAACATGTATGAGATTTTGTGTTGGAATTTTTATATATATCTTGGCTGTATACTTAGGTGTGGAATTGCTGTGTCGTATGATAAATCTGTGTTCTTTTTTTCAGAAACTGTCAGATGGTTTTTCAAAGTGAACATGCAGTTTTGCAGTCTCAACAGCAGTGTATAAGTGTTTCAGTTTTTTCATATCCTTGCCAACACATATTACTTTTCTTTTTTTTTTTTTAAAGAGTTATTTATTTATACAAGCACTGGGGTACAGGACAGAGGCGCAGGAGGGTGAGAGAATTCACCAGAGATAGAGCACGTAGCAGAACAGGCAGAAGGACCAAAGTACACTGCTGAGGGGAGCAGTGGGCGAAACAGCAGAGGTCTGCTGCGCCATGTGGGTATCTCCCTGGCCGGCTGGGAATTGAAATGGCGCTGCAGAGGCTGTGGACAGCTTCAGAGCTCTGTGCTCAATCTGCTGTGCCACCGGGGAGGCCTTACTATCTTTTTTTTTTTTTTTTTTTTAAGATTTATTTATTTACACAAGCACTGGGTACAGTCAGAAGTGCGGGAGGGTGAGAGAATTTACCAGAGCCAGAGCGGGGAACAGAGCAGGCAGACTGACGAAATACACTGCTGAGGGGAGCAGCGGGCGGCAGGAGAGGTCTGCGCGCCATGTGGGACCCTCGCCTGGTGGCTGGGGATTGAACCAGCACTGCAGAGGCTGTGGGCAGCTTTGCAGCCCAGTGCTCAACCGCTGTGCCACTGGGGAGGCCCCTTACCATCTTTTTTATTAGTGTAACTCCATAGTGTCTTTTGATTACTAGTGGGTATGAAGTGGTATTCATTTTGATTTTGATTTGCAATTCTTTAGGCTAACAATTCAGTATTTTTACATGCTTACTAGCCATTTGTATATCTTTGAAGAAATGTCTATTAAGATCCTTTGTATATTTTTTCAAAAGTATTTTAAAATAGCATGGATTCACTGTCTCAGTTTCTGTGGGCCAGGAATGTTGGTTCCTGTGACTCAGGGTCTCTCACAAGGCTGCAATGAAAATATCAGCTTCTGCTGTCATCTCATCTGAATGCCCTAAATGAAGGATTCCACCTTCATTTGTGGTTAGTTTCAGGATTCAGTTCTTTGTGGACTTTTGGATCAAGGGCCATCGTTTCTTGCATACTATTGCCTAGTTCCTTCCCATGCAGGCCTTTTTACAGGGTGTAGTTTACAACATAGCAGTTGACTTTTGGCTGTTAAACAAGAAAGGGCAAGATGGAAGCCAGAGAGCTTTTGTGACATAATATCAAAATTACTTCTCAATATTATATTATTGGAAGCAAATCACTAGGTCTAGCCAGTACTCAGAGGGAAGGATTACATAGGACATGAATGACTATCAGGAGTTGAAGATCTTTGGGAGCCATTTAAAAAAGCTGCGTAGAATGGTGGTTTAAACAGAAATTTATTTCTCACAATAAATTTCTGGAAACCTATTTCTCACAGTTCTTGAGAAGTTTAAGATCAGGGGAACAAAATGATGAGGTGTTACAGGTGAGGGCCCTTGTCCTAATTTGCAGACACGGACTTCTTGCTGTGTCTTCACATGGATCAGACAGTGAGCTCTAGTTACTTTCTCTTCTTAAAGGAAGACTGATCCCATCATGGGGGTTCCACCCTCATGACTCCATCTAAAGCTAATTATTTTCAGCCTTTGGTACAGATTGAAAATGCATACCAGGTTGCTGCCCTCTGTATTGAACATGTCAGGAGGTGTTTTTTGTTTTTGTTGTCCCTTCTTGTCCTTAGTCTCAAAAAATATACTGTAACAACTAAATAGTGTTTATACTGTTTAGGTATGTAACTGATCTAAAGAGGATTTAAAATGTACAGGATGATGTGTGCACATTATATTACATCATGTTATATGAAACTTGGGCATCTGTGGATTTTAGTATTCTCCGGACCCTGTACCCAATTCCCTGGGAATACTGAGGGACAACTTTGTTCCAAAGTCTTCATTTTATAATATCCTTGTAGAATAAAGATTTCATCATAAGAATTTTGGGAGGAGTACAAATATACCATTCATAAAAACTACTTATCTCATATATCTGCCCATATTTTAGTTGTGATATTTGACCTTATGTTACTGACTTGCAAGATTTCTGATATGCTGAACAAGAGCCAGTTAAAACAAGTATGATCTGCTAGTATTTTCTCCATTCTGTAGGTTGTGTCTTTGCTTACTTGATGGTATGGTTTATAATTTAAAAATTTTGATATATCGATTTATCTACCTTTTCTTTTATTGATTATACTTAGGTGCTAATCACAAAATTTACTTCTGTTTTCTTCTAATAGTTTTATACCTTTATTTCTTAATTTAGTTCTGTACTCCATTTTAAATTAATTTTTGTGTCTGGTGCCAGTGAGTGGTCTAATTTCATTTCTTTGCACAACAGAGGGTGCTCGGACAACTGGGTGGGTATTTCTGTTTATTTAGGTCTTTAATATGTGTTAGCAATATTTTATAGTTTACAGTGTGTAAGTTTTATACTTTTTTGCAAAATCTATGCCTTTTTTACTCTTATCCTATTATAAATGATACTATTTTATTCATTGCAAATGTACAGATATACTACAGATATACTGGCTTTTTGTACATTGATCATGTGTCCTGCAGCCTTGCTGTTTTTCTTTATTATTTCTAATGATTTTTTTAGTAGGTACCTAAGAAGTTTTTTTTTTTTAATTTTATGTGTGTGTAAATATATACACACACACATATATAAAATATGTCAATTGCAATTAGAGATAGTTTTACTATTTTCTCTTCAATCCTAATGCCTGTTTTTCATTTTCTTGCCTGATTGCCTGACTAGAACCTTTAGTACATTCAGTATTAAAGAGCAGTGATGCAAATGTACATCCTTGTCTTATTCCTGATGTTAGAAAAACACTCAGCCTTTCACCATTAAGTTTGATGTTAGCCATATATTTTCATTGGATGCCCTTTATTAGGTTGGGATAATTCCCTTCTATTCCTAGTTTGTTGAGTGTTTTTGTGATGGTTGTTGGATCTTGTCAAATGTTTTTGGATCTACTGAGATGTCGGTTTTTGTTTCCTATTAATATATGATGCATTACATTGATTGACTTTTAAAATATTGAATAAACCTTACATTTCTGGCATAAATCCCACATGTTTATGGTGCATCATCTGTTTTATATCTTGCTCAGGGTCAGCCACAGGTAAGTGTTTTGGGGTTCTCAGGTTTTTGTGAGCCTGTGCGTAGCCCTGTCCATGTGTGTGATTTCTTCACATTCATGGGCATATGTGGAAATTTTTCAAAGCCTATACAGAATTCTCATTTCTCAGCTTTACCTCTGGAAAGTATTTTGGTTACCTTCCTATTTGTCTGCTATTGACTCTTCAGCATGCTGTTAAATAATTGACACTGATTATTTTTTTCAAATGCCAGAGATGGGGTAGACGTGTGGGTAGAGGTGGTAGAATAGCAATACTTAGGTTGGTGCAGGGAGTGGCTGCTGAACACTCCAAGTGATGACAGTTTCTTAAAAATGAGGCCTTGAAGGAGCTGCAACTCCATTCTGTTAAGTCTTTCACAGTGGAAGATTTAGTGTTTACTGAATAGAATACAATGGAAAGAGCAATTTGGAAATGGAGACTAGACTCAAAATTCTTTCTTAAATACCAGTGTGAGATAATTGCTCAAATTTTGGGTAGTAGCATTGCAAATGGGGAGGAACCTTCTGCGCTTATCAGGAAGAACTTGGTAAATATATTTATAGTATAATTACTATAACACAAATACTTCTCATGTCCAAAGTTTACTACGTTGTTATTCTAAAGTATGAAAAGTACATGGACAAAAATGACCCAAATTTTTCCGAAACACTTTTTAAAGAAGGAATATTTTCCCTAAATATGTGAACCTATAGTTTTATCATTTCTATAAAAATAAACCCAGCCTATGAATTTTTTTTAAAGATTTATTCATTTGTGCATAAAAGAAATTGGGTGCAAGCCAGAGGTGTGGGTTGGGGGGAGGTCAGAGGTTGGTGGATTCATTAGAGACAGAGTGGGAAACAGAACAGGTGGATTGACTGAAATACACTGCTGAAGGGAGTGGTGGGCGAAACAGAAGAGGTCTCCTGCACCATGTAGGTTAGCTCCCTAGCTGGGGATCTTGTGCTACAGTGGCTGTGGATTGCTTCAATAGTTCTGAGACCTAACCCCTTAGGCCACCAGGGAGGCCCCAGCCTATGAATTTTGAAAAGCACTTCTTACTAAAATGTTTATTTAATAAATTGGTGCCATAGTATGTTAAACTTGGTAGTTAATTTTATTCTTTTTCCCCCCTTTCAGGTGGATGCACGGAGCATACCAGTCTTAGCAAAATGGCAAAATTCATATAGCATTAAAGTTGTACTTCAAGAGCTAAGACGTCTAATGATGTCCAAAGAAAATATGAAGCTTCCACAGCCACCAGAAGGACAAACATACAATAATTAATTTTAGTGGATCTTAAACTTGTCTTAAATCAACAACCTTCTACTCATGTTAATGTCTTGATTAAATATCACAATACAAAATACCCACACATTAAGTAAAAGAATCCCAGCTGATAAACATGACCTGGACATTTTAAAGAATATAATTAATATATGTACACCCATTTTGTTTTCAGGTAACAAGAGGAAAAATGCAGCACAATTTTTTTTCTCTTGTTAAGGCTTTGTCATTGAAGCATAAACCTAGAGTGCTCAAAATTGAATTCAGGTTTATAAGATGAAAGCATGACTAGAAGTATCGGATGGCTTTGGAAGCATGTGTATTTCTGAAAAGTGAAAATCTCAAGAAGGAAAAGCTAAATAGCATGCTTTGTCCATCTTGCTTAGAAAAAGAGATACAGTTTAAATTGTCTAAAGTAGCAGGTATAATGAATATTGTCACAAATTGTATTAATTTTTGAAGCGGTGTGGGTGCTGACTACTAGTAGTATCAAAAATATGTTCAGGATTGTTTTGATACTTGTATTTATAATAAAAAAAATGTCGTGGGGAAGAGGTCGATCAATTTCTGTTAAAAGCAGTTCCTGTGTGTTACATGTAACAGACATGGTAAATATTTGTTTACAGTCTTTGTTTGACAAACCATGCATTTAAGTGAAATCAACAAAAAGGAAATAGGTATATGGATATGTGATTTTGAGATTTTAAAGTTAGTCTTAAAGTGTAAATAAAATGTGAAATGTGTCCTCAGAAATTGTGCCATTTCTGTTATATTAATGTGGTATATGTAACAGTACCTTCCTGAGGTAGCAAAAATTAGAATTATGGTAGCTTTTCATATAAACACACCATTTACCATTTATCATACTTTGTATACGTGGAAATTGCAGAGTATTTCAGAGAACAAATGACCTAGTTTATTCTTCTTTGGATAAGAAGGACTTCCCAGGTTTTATATTTTGAATTTGATTTTATCAAGTATATTATGAAAAAGGTGTTTGAATTCAAGCAATTCTTATAGAATTATAGAGTGATCAAAATATACATTCCATTTTTTCTTCATAACAGCCTTTATCTTTATTTTTCTATGGCATTTTTTCATCTCTTAATATTATCTGGGAATATTATATCCATTGCATTATCCTCCACTCTGGCATATATTTTAAGGCTGAATTGAAAGTTTAATTTGTTGTGCTTTTACCAAGTGTCTTGAGACTTTCGGCCACTTTCTTATTTCAAAGCACTGTGTATACTACTTTATTGAAAATATTCCTCTAAAGAATTCACTGAACAAAATAGAAAAGTGGTAGATAATAAGGAAAAATTTCTCAGATATGCCCTGACATGTTTCTGTCATATTTATTCAAAGTTAAAGCTTTGAGCTACCATTTCTTGGTCAGTATTACATTGTCAGTCAATCATGGTTTGTTTAAATTTATCAGTTTCAACACGGATATTCTATCCTAATTATCAAAGACTAAAAAGCCCAGAAAATATACATACAGATTAGTGCATGTGTAATTTATTAAAATAGGTTTGAAATGAATTACCCTTGAATACGTTCTTAAAGGTTTTTAATGGTTGAAGTTTACATAGAATTACATTGATGTCATACATATTTGATGGTTACTGATAGTCTGAAGCAGTCTCTCTGATAATTCCTTTTCCACTTTGAAAACAGTACATACAGACAGTTAAAACTCCATATATATAAATGCTGTTGAATTATTTTTATATATTGATGGATAGAGAGTCTGGTACCTTAAATCTCCCGTCCTCTCACTTTATATCCATTAATGTGAAAGACTTCCCTTCAAATATATGTTGTCTGAATTCAACCCATAATGTTTATCCCTCTTTTGTTTTCGGGATTATGGATCTCTGCAGAAATCTGCATGCCAATTAGCCAATTTCCAAAGCAGAATCAGTTTTGCATGTCACAATCAAAATGTACATGGCAATTAAGACACACTGGTTGATTATATAGGAGTTAATAAAAATCCGCTTTTAATTATAGTAACATTTCTAAGAAGTTTTGAAGCAGTTTTTCCTTTGTCTGTTTTGTAAAGTGGCTAGGTTGTAGGAGTATGTGGTATTAACTTAATGGAAATGTAAAATTGCCTTCAAAATTTATTTAAAAGCCTAGCAGGTGAGACCCTTAGGGGATGATCATATATTAATAAAGATTACAGAAATAAAATTCTTGTCCTAGTAGGTCAGTGATATAGTGGTTTTAATTATGCATTTTGAGAATTGCTAAGTTTTAAGTATTTTGTCTAACATTTTAAAGTAATGGCATTTGTTTTTATAGGTTTATGTAACTGCAGGATTTTGGAACATAAACATTTATGAGGATAGTGTATTTAAATCTTGGTGTGTAAAATAGTAAGAAATTAAATTATCCTTTTAAATGAATTTATCATATTTCAAATTTGAGTAAGTACTTGGAAAATGAATTAGTTTCACTTGAATATGGTTTTTTAGTCTAGATTACTTAGTACCAATTCAATGATTTAAATATTTCCCACTAAACATTATTACTGATAAGTGAATATGAAATTCATACTGTTTTGAAAATTTAGAGGACACAACTGGAAAATACTAATCCATTTTCCTTAATAAATATGGTGTGTATGCATTTGGGTAGTTCTGGTAGGTGCATCATGGAATTATAGACTGTGCTTTAAAACTGTGATCATTCTTAATGAGCCTATGACTGTTCACATACATTTGATAGAATATGAGCACTAATAATGAAGTTTAATATCAATAATACGATTTGGGGGAGGTATTTAGGGAATTTTTTTCAGATTTCCTTATAAAAGTATATTTTAGACCTGTAGAATTTTAATATCATTGATTGCTGTTAACGATCTTAAAGGTACTGGTTTTATTTTCCCTATAAGTACCAATGTATTTTTTCCAGTGTCAACTTGATTGACTTGGTTATTTTCATAAAAGGATTCCAACTCTAAGGATTCTGAGTGTAAATTTTTTGTATATAAAATGGAAACATGAAAAAGAATGGATGTAATGTTTCACAAAATTGATTGGCTCTTTAGCAGTTCACTCCCATCCAGTACTGTGTTTAGTAAAAGGCAGGAAGTGCTTGGAAAGAGAGTATCTTTTATGCAAAAATTAATAGGACTTAGAAGATGCTAACGAATAGAGGAATCTTACCGTTCTCACTGTTGCTTATTTAAAAAGTATTGTGGAATATTGAAAATACACCATAATAGATACACCAAAAGCATTTTTTAAGAGAAAATTAAGAAAGGTATTTGATACAGAAAATGGCAAGTCAAACATTTTGTGAATTAAGGGAGTTTGGGGAACTGACTGAGTATATGAGGAAAGATAATTGGCTATCAGGTTCCAGTGGTGTTTTAAGTCCTTAGGATACTCTCACCTATGAAAATCGCTGAGGCTGCTCCATCTTTTGTTTACCTGTAATCAATAATACCAACCCACGATTTTTCTAGCAAGTTCATTTATGAAATCAGTAAAATCCATATCTTTGATTCATTTTATTTTTAAAGATTCATTTACGCATACAAGAACTGGCATACAGGCCAGAGGTGCGAGGGTGAAAGGATTCACCAGAGACACAGTAGAGAGCAGAACAGTCGGATTGACTGAAATAAACTGTTGAGGGGAGTAGTGGGCAAGGCGGGAGAGGTCTGCTGTGCCATGTGTGTCACCTTCCTGGCTGGGGATGGAACTCATGCTGCAGTAGCTGCAGATTGCTTTATAGTGCTGACGTTTAACTCCTTGTGCCACCAGGAAGGCTTCCCAGATCTCAGTTTAACTGAGAGATGCCAGGAATCACCCTGTCTCAAGTTATAACTGACTAAAAACCAGGATTGTGTAGTGTCCATTTCTTGCTGTTCTAGATGTAGGTGAATTCATTTATCTTGTCCTTGTTTAATGATGAGTAGCCATATTAAATTTATTTGTATATTTTTTAAATAAAAGGACAGTTAATATTTGACTTTCAAAGAAAAATAGTAGTTGGCTCTAAGAAACCAATGGTAAGGGGAAGCCAGTGGTTATAAAGAAGATGACAAATTAGCTGATAGTAAAAACTTTTAGTTGCTTGTTTAGTTAAATAATTCTCAAAAATGCTCAAACATAAGGAAGCACTGTTGGCAATTAAGTTTATATTCCTTTAATTGCTTACCAAAAAAACCCCAAACACAAGCCTTTAATACTATGTAGCTCCATAAAGTAACCAGGAGAATTCATGTCATAGGTGAAATGATATTTTAATAGGACATTCTCATTAAAATTTAGTGAAGTTGGCTATAAACTTATATAAAACATCCTTTCACAGTGAACAAGCACACGAATTGAAAGTGCTTTATGATATGAAGATGGAGTTTTTGTAGTCTGTAGTCTATGTAATCCATGTAGTTTATTAGCCCTTCAGTTGAAGTGAAAAAAGACTTCCTTGATAGTTGATAACTGACAAAGAAGATTGTATTGTTTTATTGCTTCAAGCCACGTAAGTAAAGATGGCCCGATGTTCAGATTATATCTACTATGAAATTATCTTTCTATTGCTATAATTTTAAAAATTCTGGTAATTTGTAATGGCAATGCAAATTTAAAGTGGGTATAGATTTTAATTATCTTAATACTCAAGTGAAAAATAATTGAGTTCACAAGAAAAGTAAAATATCTACTTGCTTGGGTTTAATAATCTTGAATAATGTATGGATTTTTTTAAGAAGAAAATAATTTTTGTGGACTTAGTTTTATTTTGTATTTATCGAAACATTGTTTAATGCATAAAACAGTGCAAATGTTTAATTTTATGCTTAGTCCCTATAAAATCATGAAGTAAATTATGCAACTATACAGTAATTAAAATAGTATTGAGGATCATTTATTGAGTTAATCGCTGCTTGAAATGTATTGTCTCCTCTTGGCTCTTTTATTGCTATGTCTCTGGTGTGCTGCTGGACTTCAAATTTTCTTACCTTCTTTTCGTATAATTACAATTATGTGGTAAGTCACTTTTGGAATTCTCTATTAGCCAGAGACAATTGCAGTTAAAAGTGACCCCTCCCTCACTGTTGACTGTCCTGTACTCTGCAGCCCCCTTTCTGTAAGTATATGGTCACCTCTGTTCTTATGACCAGTTCTATTCTGTTCCTGTGGAGTGGATTTTTCCTTTGAACTCCTTTAAGCTCCTTATGTTTTCTTTTCCTTATCTTCAGCGTGATCCTCTTCACCTTCTTTTGATGTCACAACAATAGCTGCTAATTTGAATTATACTCTTGACAGATTGGTTCACTGGCTTGAACCATCTGCTATACTCTGAATTATACTTCTGTGCCCTTTGTTTACCACATCTGTTAATGTTTATTCTTGTTTGCCCACATTCACTTCCTAACTTCTTTACCACTCAAATTTGCTGATCTTCTTCTCAACCTATTTTTGTCCAACAACATTGTCTTAATATGTTAATACTTCGGCCTTCCTTCTGAGAGTTGATGTCCAAGCATCCAAGTATGAAGGTAGTAACCGCAGCTTTAAAATTATTTATAGTGGATTTAATTTTTTAATTCTTAGAATATTAGAAAGCATATCTTAATATTTTTGAAATTAAAAGCAAAAATTGGATATTTTCTTAAATTTGAGATATTTTAAAATTGTTAAAAAACACCACTTTTGGGGAACAGTGTATTTGGCTACAAAAAGTGTTAGAATACTTTATTTGGACTAAAAATTATTGAAATGACCAC